TGACAGCAACTCAGCCATGAAGTGGTCGGCCACGTAAAATGACAGAACGGGGTCAGCGGATGCTGAGGCGCATAGTGCATAGAGGTGGCCAACTTTCTGCAGAGTCAATCACTACAGACCTCCAAACTTCATGTGGCCTTCAGATTAGCTCAAGAACAGTGCATAGAGAGCTTCATGGAATGGGCTTCCATGGCCGAGCAGCTGCATCCAAGCGTCGAATGCAGTGGTCTAAAGCTCACCGCCACTGGACTCTAGAGCAGTGGAGACGTGTTTTCTGCAGTGACAAATCACGCTTCTCCATCTGGCAATCCGATGGACGAGTCTGGGTTTGGCAAATGCCAGGAGAACAGTACTTGTCTGACTGCATTGTGCCAAATGTAAAGTTTGGTGGAGGGGGATTATGGTGTGGGGTTGTTTTTCAGGAGTTGGGCTCAGCCCCTCAGTTCCAGTGAAAGGAACTCTTAGTGCTTCAGCAGACCAAGAGATTTTGGGACAATTTCATGCTCCCAACTTTGTGGGAACAGTTTAGGGATGACCCCTTCCTGTTCCTACATGACTGCGCACCAGTGCACAAAGCAAGGTCCATAAAGACATGGACGAGCGAGTTTGGTGTGGAAGAACTTGACTGGCCTGCACAGAGTCCTGACCTCAACCCGATAGAACACCTTTGGGATGAATTAGAGCAGAGACTGCGAGCCAGGCCTTCTTGTCCAACATCAGTGTCTGACCTCACAAATGCGCTTCTGGAAGAATGGTCAAAAATTCCCATAAACGCACTCCTAACCCTTGTGGAAAGCCTTCCCAGAAGAGTGGAAGCTGTTATAGCTGTAAAGGATGGGCCGATCATATTAAACCCTATGGATTTAGAATGGGATGTCACTCAAGTTCATATGCATGTGAAGGCAGACAAGCAAATACTTTTAGCAATATGGTGTATGTTTGTATGTTGATATATGGCTGAAAAATATGTCCCATATTTGAAAATGGCTCATTTCAAATAAGTTGGCTTATAGGTCCATTTGTGACAAATATATGTTGGATATACAAGAAATCCATGGATGCTAATATGTCATATATTTGAAATCCATATATTGCTATATATCAGATTTTAGTCCCCTATAGAACTGCAGTGGAACTTTTTAGTACATCCTGCATCTATTACCATTGGAATTGAAGTTTGTTAGGCCCAGTTCTTCTCTTTTTGGGAAAATTTTGGTAGAAAAATAAGCTCCATAGTGAGAAGTGTGAGCATTAGCAAGTTAGCAAAGCAGTCCAGGTGCTAAAGCAACAGTGTGAAATTAAACCCAAAAAAGGAATTGGGAACTAAATGTGAAGGACTAAAATGAAACTGAAGAAAGAGGAAATTCTCTCACGATTATACACACTTAAGTATGGGTAAAAGTACTTTTGAAAGCACACATCCATCCAAATTTGTAACTGTGTAAATGCTAGTGCTAGAACCGGTGCTAGCAGTAGTGCTACCTTTGCAATAAGGTCTTAAAATCAGACCTTGTTTCGATTTCATTTTTTCTGCCTCTACATCACGATCAAACAATTTGAGAAGTGGGTGAATTCTCCATCTAAGTGTGAAGGACTGAAATACAACAGAGGAAAAAGGAAAAAATAGATTCCTTCCTTTACAGACACGGGCCTGCTTGGCTGTGTTAACATGTTATTGACTATATTTAACAGAAAAATGCACAGATGCCTCCAACACTGAGTATAATAACAAATCTATCATCCTTCCAATCTTAAAACTAATCAGTTTCAGCTGCTTCGTCACAACCAAAGCTGCTCACTGTCATTATGTTCCTCTTTAAACAGACACTAACATTCTCACAAGCAGCTACCCAAACTCACCTTAGCTGCCTTCAGCTTTTTTTCTCATGTGCGTCTAAAATGGCTAAAGAAGATATTTCCGGGGAGATTAGATATAAGATAATCCACTTGTATAAGGAGGATCAAATGAAAATAAGCCAAAAAAACAGGAGTCTCCAAAACTAGAGTTCAAAAGATGATTAAAAGCTACAGAGAAAATGGGACTCCTAACAACCACCTGGAAGACCTGGTTAGAAGACCGAAACTGTCCCCATCAGATAAACAGCACTTAAAGCTTTCATCTTTGAGAGAGAGCAGAAAATCAAGCTCCACTCTTGCTTCAGATCTGAAAACATCCATGTGTTTCTGTCCGTCCTTCCACTGTGAGAAGACTATCAAGAAGCCCTTACTGAGAAAAGGAAAGACAAAAAAATGTGCTCTGAAACTGAGAAGCTGAGATGTGGAGTAAAGTTTTGTGGACTGATGAGTCTAAATTTGTTATTATGACTCCAAATTTGAAAGCGCAACCAACTTCTAAGACTGAACTTTGGAGGTGTGGAAAAATCCCTGCAGATTTCATTGAAAAACTGACAGCAAGTCTCCTAAAATGAATGGAAGCTGTAATAAAAGCAAAGGGTGGACACGCTAAATACTCCAACAATCCAAGGGCCTCTATATTTGATTCTCAGTGCACTGCTGTACTAAAACGTTTTTGCGCTTGATGATTAAAGAAGACGCAGGGCACGTTCTTCATCGCTGATGACGTTTATTAGAAATGGCTATAATTGAGAAACAAAGAAATGCAGCTTTCAGTATGTGATGTGTCCTCTTGTTGAGAAGGTGGGCAGCAGACTCTCGCGCGAGGCTTGTAGGAGAGGAGGTTGATTGTGGTTTGGAAGCTTGTTGGTGTGCCGACTTTTGATCTTCTTGTCTGTTTTAGTTCAGCTCGTTAGGTACGGTTTTATTTTTTGTTTTTTTGGCACTTTTACTTGACACACTAAGCTTTGATTCCTACACATTTGTTTGATTAAAGAGAAGGAGAAAGTATTTTAAGCTGGTTAGCTTAATGCTGCCTAACTGAAAGAATGAGTGTGACAGTTCAAGCTGAAACTCAAGATTTTTCAGACTTTTCTTTACGTTGTTTTCATTTTCTAACACTTATCAAGCTTATCCACTTGGCTTGTTTAGAAATTGCCTTACTTAGAATCAATGTTTCTATCAAACATCGTTCTTTCTTTGCTCGTTTAAAGTAGGAACGGCTTGTTTGTTATGGTTAGAAATAACATGTTGTTTACTGCAGTAAGAAGGCAGAACATAAAATGTGATGACATGTTGGGTATTATGTGAAATCGAAAGTTTAGAAAAATCTCAGGCTTAAGTTCGTAGCTACTCTGGTAGAGACAAAATGGTGCAGCTGGAAAATGGTGAGGAAAAATGGCCACCACCCAAGGTGTGATGGTCAGATTAGGGAGGGCTATTTGAGTAGACTGTTCTGTTTGAGCCTTTTGTTTTATTGGTTCGACAACAGTATTGCCAAAGGGAGTTTAACTCTTTGGCCAAAAAAAAGGGCAGCAGACGACGGACATTATTTTAATTTTTTTTGGTTTTTCAGAGATGGAATAAAAACTACATTTGATGTTGCAATTTAATTGATTTTATGATGGGCTACTAGTCTGGTCATTACAATCAAGGTATCAGTGTAATGGGAGGAATGACTGGCTGGACAGTTTTTCTCTGCATAATATCAGTTTTTTACAGTTTTTAGATGTTACTTTAAAAAAAAAATTTGTCCCCTTCATTTTTTGAAGTGCCCCATATTGTCCCAACCCAGATAGCGAGCATATATCGGTCTACTGGCTTGATAAGGTCGGCACTCTGCTGACTGTTTGCCACTGCTGGTCCAACCTTGGACCAAACAGACTATTGTCCTGCATACAAGCCTAACTAGTTTTATTCTCTTCAAACAGATTTTAAATGCTTAAACTAAGACAAATATTACAAACAACTAAAAGAAAAAAATAATGACTAGGCCTAATAAAAACACTGAGCTGGATTAAAATTATTTACTAAACTAATTTATAAAGTATAACTAAAGAAAGGAAGGAAATAAGTAAATTGGACTGTGAGTGGAAAATGAGCGATGATAAGTGGAATTTTGTCTAATAGTCTTCTTAACCAACTTAGGAACCAGGGGTCACACTGTCTAAAACACAAATATAGCCATTTTATTCACTATCCAAAACCACCACTGAACCTACATGTGTCTTCTGAGTTTTATGTGTAATGCTGATAATTGTAAAACAGTGATAAATATGAAGAAATAGTTTTTCTTTGGGGACTAATTTACCTTACAGTGCCATGCATGTATCCCTCCACCAGTATCTAATAAAAAATATATTTTAAGCCAAAGCTTTTCTCAAAACTATCACGAATAAGTTTCATATAGTATAATTATTTCATGTATTAATTTACTGTGGGAGCTTTAAAAAAGCACTAAACTCAGATGTCTAATTCCTTTCACTACCACTGTGAACAATTCTGACTTGGTAAATTTTGTCTAGAACCACTCAGCATGACTTTGTTTACAATTATGCAGAACTTCGTAAAGTTTTTTGGACTTCCCCTTTGATGATGCCTAAGTACAAGGTACTGCCACCCCTACTAGCATATTAAGTCAAGCAGTTTTGATCAGTGAACCTGTAGAGAGGAGAATTTCCACTCTGTAATGTCTTCCGGGTTTCTTAAACCTATCTAGAGGGCGCTCCCGAGCAAGTCCAAAATGAATGGATTAAGATGGAGCATTTAAACAAAATCATAGTTTATAAATGCTTAAACATTTTAATGTAAAAGGATACATGTATTACCTGAACATAGAACAGCATAAAACAGTTTAACACTGCTGTTATATTTTTAAGAGCTTTTAAACTGGAGTTATAGGAGAAATGAAAGGCAAGTTGTGGGCGGGTGATTAGAAACTATTTTAACCTTTTGTTTTTAGCCGTTGAGCTCCATTCACTCCCATTCATTGAGGACTCGCTTGTGGGCACCCTCTGGCGTTTTGCAGTCATGTTTTTGATATAATGGGGGAAATAGGAAGAGGCCAGGCTCCTCATAAACTGGCTCTGGTTTTGATGTTTACTTTTTACTCTCTGCCTCTATTGTGTCTCTGAGCAGCTTGAGGAATGGGAGACTGGTCCATTCTCGGCCGCTTCCTGACAGAAGTGCAGAACCACTCCACTGTGATCGGCAAGATTTGGCTGACCATGCTGCTGATCTTCCGCATCCTGCTGGTGGCGCTGGTGGGCGACGCCGTGTACAGCGACGAGCAGTCCAAGTTCACCTGCAACACCCTGCAGCCCGGCTGCAGCAACGTCTGCTACGACACCTTCGCCCCAGTGTCCCACCTGCGCTTCTGGGTCTTCCAGATTGTGCTGGTCTCCACGCCGTCCATCTTCTACGTCATCTACGTGCTGCACAAGATCGCCAAAGATGAGGAGCACAAGATTGAATCGAAGGACAAGGTGCACGAGGCAGCTACATTAGAGACTGACCATGAGGAGGCACTAGAGGTCAAAACTCCCACCTTGCTGGCTCAGTCTGAGGAGGTCTGGGGCCCTCAGGAGGTGGAGGGTCTGGACCAGACTTTACTAGCAGAGGACTTTGGCGAAGTGGCCAAAGATCCCACTGAGCTGTCCAGTCATGTGCTGCTCACATACATCGTCCACGTGGTGCTGCGCTCCATCATGGAGCTTGTGTTCCTCGTGGGTCAGTGCTGCCTGTTTGGCTTCGAGGTGCCCTACCTGTTCCAGTGCGATACGTACCCCTGCCCCAACCGAACGGACTGCTTCGTGTCTCGCGCCACTGAGAAGACCATCTTCCTCAACTTCATGTTCAGCATCGGCCTGGGCTGCTTCCTGCTCAACGTGGTGGAGCTGCACTACCTCGGCTGGGTCTACGTCTTCCGGATCATCTGCCTCGCCTGCTCCACGTGCTGCGAGCCGGACGAGGACCCGAACCTCGTGCAGCGCCTGCAGGCTCTTTACGCCAATCCCAAGCCGCTCCTGCTCCAGCTCACTCACTCCCTGCGGGGGCACCTGCTGCTTCACCCTTCTCTTCCGGTGACCCTGGAAAGCTGCCCCGTAGCTGCACATGAAACCTCCATCTCCTTTGAGGCAGACTCCACCGTGGAGTACATGAGAGGGCCAGACAACAAGGAGCGCGCCAAACTGGGCAGATGCAAAAAGGCCTGGCTGTGAATTGTGTGTTTCTGAGGCCTCCACTGATTTTTCAACACTTCTGCCTAATGAAATGGTTAACATGCCAACAAAATCATCCTGGGTTGTTTGGTGTGAAATGCTTTGTTTAGAGAAACTTACAGAATTGTCAGAATTGTTCACAGTGGTGGTGATAAGAACCAGATGTCTGAGGAGTTTAGCGCCTCTAAAAACTCCCTCACAGAAAGAAAGTTATCACATTCACTGGTTATGAATGCACTGCCTGGAGTCTGATACATTGTTTTATGGTAGATTTGGTCTAAAACATATTATAATCAATGTATTTCGATCATGGTGGAGGGATACATGAGGGGCGTCCTAAGGCAAAACAGTCCCCAAAGAGAACTTATTTTTCTCAGAAGACAAGTGAAGCTTCACTGGGTGGTTTTGGATAGTAAATAAAATTGCTATATTTGTGTTGTAGACATTGTGACTCCTGGTTCCTATCACTCACTGTAAAGAGTCGGCACGTTTCTCTGCAAATGAACAATTTCACATCAAAGCATTCTGAATGACTTTGTTTATATATCAAACACTAAACTATCCAGAAATTTTGAGAAATAGGTGAAATTCCCCTTTAAAGGAAAAGTTCTACATTTTTCAACCTAATTTCTTTCATCTGCTTCATCTGGATCGTACGGTCAGTCACCACAGACAATTATTTTTATGCATTACCCTGTAGAACCGAGAACCCACTGACTTCAGTGTCACTTATAATGGAAGCCAGTGGTCACTTGACCATGTTTAAAATACATGGCAAGTACAACTGTTCAGTTCAAACCATGCAAGCTGAGAATGGCTTACCAAAGCTGTTCTTATGAAGTTTAACAACCTTTGGAGAAAAGCTGGAGCAACAGTTGGTTACATTCACTTTCCCTAAAGGTTTTCTCTAAGGATCACTACTCATGCCACTGCAATGGTAACCACATTATGATTACCACATATCCTTCCCACCAGTCCAAACAGCCATTATGTACAAATGATTAATCTTGTAGGAGGTACCAAGAGATTAGACATAAGACTGTGCTTACGACAAGAAAGGAAAAGAAACAAAAAACAGAAACGAGTTAACAAAAAAAATGAGCAGGACTCCTAACAACCACCTGGAAGACCTGGTAGACCACCAACACTGTCCCCATCAGATAAACAGCACTTAAAGCTTTCATCTGTGAGAGAGAGGAGAAAATCAAGCTGCTTCAGATCTGAAAAAGTCCACAGGTGTTTCTGTCCATCTGTCCATCCTTCCACTGTGAGAAGACGACTCAGCGCTGTGGGTCTGAAAGGATGTGTAGCTGTCAAGAAGAACCTCACTGAGAAAAGGAAAAGAAGACTTGCATATCAAACAAAGAAGCTGCTGGTGTTTCTCAGAACAATGGATTGACCACCCCACAGTCCACATCCTCAACATCACTGAATAAGTTTGGGATTATTTGGATTGTGAGAAGCAGAAAATGCGACCAACTTCTAAGACTGAACTTTGGAGGTGTGGAAAAAAAACCCTGCAGGTTTCTTTGAAAAACTGAAAGCAAGAATTGAAGCTGTAATAAAGGCGAAGAGTGGACACGCTAAATATGGGAACACTTTAAAAATACTGAAAAGCCAAAAATTATATATTTAGTGTGTTCTGAGTCAACAGGCTCTCCATTCTTGTCTAAGTACAAGGAAACAAGTTGAAATTATTGTTCATGGTAACTGAACATACACTAGCGATGCAGCATATAGAGATCAGAATAAAAAAAATTAAATATTACTTCAATGCATCAACTGAACTTTGTGTGGAAGTCTCCTGCTGGCCTGTGTCTGTCCAGCTGTTGTTTTCTAAAACTCAAAAATCACTTGTCTGGCCTCTTTCTATTGAAATTTGCAAAACAACCATATAAAAGGCCAGCTTGTACCCACAATGAGACCAAAAATATGTTAAATATACACCAGTCAGGCATAACATTATGACTACCTCCTTGTTTCTATGCTCATTGTCCATTTTATCAGCTCCACTTACTATATAGGTGCACTTTGTAGTTCTACAGTTACAGACTGTAGTCCATCTGTTTCTCTGCATACTTTGTTAGCCCCCTTTTACCCTGTTCTTCAGTGGTCAGGACCCCCATGGACCCTCACAGAGCAGGTACTATTTGGGTGGTGGATCATTCTCAGCACTGCAGTAACACTGACGTGGTGGTGGTGTGTTTGTGTGTGTTGCGCTGGTGCGAGTGGATCAGACACAGCAGTGCTGCTGGAGTTTTTAAACGCTTCAGTGTCACTGCTGGACTGAGAATAGTCCACCAACCAAAAATATCCAGCCAACAGCGTCCTGTGACCACTGATGAAGGGCTAGAGGATGACCAACACAAACTGTGCAGCAGCAGATGAGCTATCGTCTCTGACTTTACATCTACAAGGTAGGAGTGTCTAATAGAGTGGACAGTGAGTGGACACAGTGTTTAAAACTCCAGCAGCACTGCTGTGACTGATCCACTCGCACCAGCACAACATACACTAACACACCACCACCATGTCAGTGTTACTGCAGTGCTGAGAATGATCCAAATAGTACCTGCTCTGTGAGGGTCTATGGGGGTCCTGACCACTGAAGAACAGGGTAAAAGGGGGCTAACAAAGTATACAGAGAAACAGATGGACTACAGTCTGTAACTGTAGAACTACAAAGTGCACCTATATAGTAAGTGGAGCTGATAAAATGGACAGTGAGCGTAGAAACAAGAAGGTGGTCATAATGTTATGCCTGACCGATGTATTTCTTGTCACATGACCTAACTGCACCAAACTGGCCAGTGTGTCCACATGCGACTGTTTTCATGCCTTTCTCCTCCTTGGCTGTGTTTGTAGTGCTACAGGTGGAGGAGTTCAGCACTGTTAAGGTCATTAAGCATCATGAGGCCTTAACTGATCTGCTGAGCTTGACATGGGAGTCACTGTCTGGCCTTCAGTCTCCCTCCAGTGGTTTTGTTGTTTCTAAAACTTTTTTTTTCAATTATTCGTCTGGACAATTTCTTTTGAAATTTGCAAAAACAGAATCATCAAAATTTGCCTCTGCTGAAGGAAATACAGCGACTGCACGGCAAGAAAATATGACAAAAATAATATAGCAATATTTGTAAGGAATAAGTCTCAGAATTCAAATGCAATAAAATAGGAAAGAAGGAAAGGAAGGAAGGAAGGGTGAAAAGAAGAAAGAAGGACAAGAAAAAGAAAGGAAAGAAAAGAAGAGAAAGAATGGAAGAAAGCAAGTAAAAAAGAAAAGAAAGGGAAAAGGAAAGAATAAAAGAGAAGAAAGAAGTACAGAATAAAAAGAAAGGAAAGAAAAAGAAGAAATGAGTACAGAAAAAAGAAAGGAAGTGAAGAAAGAGAAGAAAGGAGTACAGAAGAAAAACAAATAAAAGAAGGAAAAAAGAAAGAAAGGAGAAAGAAAATAAGGAATTAAGTAAGAAATACAAAGAAATAAATGAAGGAATGAGAGAAATTAGGGAAAAGAGAGAAAAGGGAAAGAATGGAAAAAAGGAAATAATAAAAGAGAAGAAAGAAGAACAGAGGAAAGAGAAAGGAAGAAAGAAAAATAGAAAAAAGAAAAAAAAAGAAGAAAGGAATACAGAAGAAATGTGTGGGTGAATGTTTGCAAGCTTGGATTTACACAGATGGATTTTTTAAAAATGAATACATTTAAATATTTATATTTATGAAAAATGTATGTATTTTTTTATTTAGTCTTTTTATTTTATTTTTTTGAAAAGCTGATGTAAGAAGACCTGCACTGGATTAAAGAATGTGTGGCAGCCACTTGAGCCCGCAGCTGGACCTCTCAGTGTTTTTTGGCACCAAGAATATAAATATTTAAATTATGAAAGACAAAAATTTTAATTTCTTGATTTCTTGACATTTAAACAAAATAAAAGTCCACTTGGCCCTGTTCTTTTGGAATAAAGCATTTTTTCACTGTTTATGAGTGCGTTTGTGCTTTCCAAAGACAAAATGATCAACCATTTCTAAGCCATTTCAATCCATCACAAATAAGCCCAGTTTTGTGTTGTGTCCAGCCTGGTCCAGAAGAGGGCGCTATCAACATACAAATGACAGCACCGTCACAGGAATGCCACTTTCCATCCCTGTTCACAATACATCTTTCCTACGTCTTATAACAGTCACACATTTGTCCTCAAACTCCTTTGTAATGTTATTTCATACAGATTTAACTTTCTTAGACGGAGAGAAAACTTCACAAAACTTTTGGTGAGTGGCCCGGCCAGCAGAGGGCGCTGCAGTCAATGCGTTTCAATGCGTGTTTTTTAACCACCCGTTTTTCGACATCCTCCGCCACCTACGCTTCGATTGGCTAGCAAGTCGAACACTCCGCCAATCGATGCAAACTGTTTGCTAATTATGCAAATCATATTCGCAATATGCAAATCACAGAGCTGCCGAGTTTGACCTACAGCACAGGTGGGCGGTGATTGTCGGAATACGGGTGGGGAAAATAACAACGCTCGCCAAATCGGCACAGGTCCGTCAAGCCAAAAGCACCGCGGCTGCTACAAAAGTGCTAAAGCTGTATTTACCTCTCTATCTAATCCAGACAGCGGAAAGAAAGCGCCCTATTTCTTCCAGCTCGGTGTTTAAACGGTGAGTTTTTCAACGCTTTGCTTTCTTGTTGACATGTTTCCCTTTCAGGTGACAGCCGGGCAAAGAGGCTTAGTGGGAGATTTGGACTGTTAGCCTCAACTATATAGATATCTTATAAAATACCTCGCTGAGCTGGACATATAACTGCTGTTTTGGCGGAGTGACACAGCGAAACGAGGCTGAAGTTGGTTTACTATGCGAATTTTTCCGTTCCACCTTAAATGGTGCAGCGCCAGAATGGAACTGCTGCACCATTTAAGGTGGAACGGGAAAATTCGAATGAGAAGCTAACTTAAGCTTCGTGCTCTGCTGCTTCTGTGAAGCCACGCGACACATTTGTTATTGTAAAAGGTCACATTAAATTATATATATAGTGCATCATTTAGGTGTAAAGTTCACACAGCAGGCAGCGCTTTCAGGAAGTGAGTCTATAGACGTTTCGGGAGTTTTCACTGAGGTGACTGAACACGTTCGCCCGCCTGTTTTATGCTCTGTCAGACGTTTTTGTGAGAGTAAGTGGTCATATAAAACGCGCAGACCTGAAAGTGGGCTTTATTTCTCCTTCATCGCTCTCTACCTGTCGTTAAAGGTGCCCCGCAGCCAATAGGAATGCGCCACGTCACGTCACAGAAGGCGTATGGCGGAGGAGTTCTCGGTTAAAGGGACATTCCACCCGTTTTTCAAAATTGAAACAATGCGGAATAATTCAGACCTTGAGATGTAAACACAGTCGTTCAGAGATTCAAGCCTTCTGAGTTTTTATATGTAATGTTGGTGATGCAAAAATAGTCATAAATCTGTTTTCTCTGGGGATTATTTTGCCTTATAACACCCTGCGTGTGCCCCTCCGCCATGAATGGATCAAAATAAATTGATTAAAATACATTTTAAATCAAAACTTTGCCACAAAACTGCCATTAAACAATGTATCAGACATCAGGAAATGCATTCATAACCATTTCATGTAATGACTTTCTGTGTAATGTAATCACTTTCTGTGAGGGAGCTTTAAGAGGTGGGCGTCTGGTTCCTGTCACCACCACTGTGAACAATTCTGACTCAGCAAGTTTTTCTAGTGCAAAGCATTTCACGCTAAATCACTCTGAATAACTTTGTTTACATCTCAACCTATTAATGGGGAGAACTTTTGAAAAATTGGTGGAGTTGCCCTTTAAAGGGTATATCTTTCAATATCTTTCATTGTTTGCATGTTATTATCTTTCCATGAACATTTGTGTAAAGTTGTGTCCCAAACACAGTCAAATTTCATTTTACGTCCTCTTTTTATGCCTTAGAATTAAACAGGCTGTTTTTGATGCCGTGCTGATATATGTAAATGACCTCTGCTCTGATTGGCTGTCCTGTATCGTGCCGCATTGAAAGAGCAGTCTCGGTTGAAACACTCTATATAACTTAGGTGTGGATGGGCGGGACTAAGCTGCTGTTGGCTGATGTATGTAAATGAGTTGGTTTGACATCACAAAAACAATGAATTCAAAACCAGCTGTTTCTTCAGCTCAGTGTTCATATATGGACAGGACCCCTTCTTTCACCTGAGGTCCACTTACAACATCTGTGTGGTTTTATGTATCAAAAACATACACTATTCATTTTTACATGAACATTTTCCAGCCTGACTATCCCTTTATCCCTAACAGAGCTCTGTTCTGATTGGCTGCCCTGTACGGTGCCTCATTCAAGAAGCAGTCCAGGCTAAAACACTCCTCATATCTTCTGTGTTAATGGGCGGGGCTTAACTGCTGTACGCTGAATGAGTGGATATATGTAAATGTATTTGTTTTTGTGACCTCACAGAAATGTTGAATTGAAAATGAGCTGTTTTTGCAGCTTAGTGTTCATATATGGACGGTACGCACTGGACGTGAATGGTGATATTGAATGAAGTATTACGTTGAACTCTTTTATTTCAGGCATTTGCAGAAAATTCAGTTTTCCATAATATGGGCCCTTTAATACATCAGAGTAACTTAAGTCAAACGTCTGTCAGGTAGGAAGAGGGTTACGAAGCATTCCTATTGGACAGTCCTAACTTTGGCTCAATTTGCAGCAAGAATGAGAAACCCTGCTTAAAAAAGTTTCTTTAGTAAAGGACATGGTTCTATATAGAATCATGAACACTCAAAGAACCCTTTGCATGAAGGATTCTTTGGATCATTATATGGTTCTTCAGATTGATGGAGATTGCGTTTTAAATGGTTCTATATAGAACCTTTTTGAAAAGGGTTCTAGATAGCGTCAAAAAGGTTCTTCTATTTTTAGGATATCAAGTCTGCACTCTTACAAAAGATGATTCTTCAAGGGTTCTTTAGTAAAGAAAATGGTTCTATATAGAACTATGAACACTTAAAGAACCGTTTGCATGGCTAAAAGGGTTCTGTGCATCATTAAATCGTCCTTCAGATTGATGAAGAATGCATTTTAAATGGTTCTATATAGAACCTTTATGAAAAGGGTTCTATATAGCACCAAAAAGGGTTCTTCTATTGTTATGATGATGCACTCATAAAAAAGATGGTTCTTCGAGGGTCCTTTGGTAAAGAAAAGGATTCTAGAAAGAACCTTGAACATTCAGTAAACCCTCTGAACGGTTATGGGGGTTCTTTGCATTATGAAAGGGTTTGATTGATGGAGAATGTGCTGTAGATGGTCCTATATAGAACCTTTTTGAAAAGGGTTCTATATAGCACCCAAAAGCATTCTTCTATTGTTACAAGCTTGACATCATACCAATAGAAGAACCCTTTTGGGTGCTATATAGAACCCTCTCATAATGCAGAGAGCCTTTTAATCATGCAAAGGGTTCTTTCAGTGTTCATGGTTCTTTATAGAACCCTTTTACTAAAGAACCCTTGAAGAAACATCTTTTTTAAGAGTGTGTAACACTGTGTGATTAAACGATTCTTTGCATCATGAAAGGTTCTTCAGAAAAGTGTTCTATATAGCACCCGTCTGTTGTTATGATGCCAAGCTTGTAACAATAAAAGAACCCTTTTGCGTGCTACAGAACCATTTTCATCACATTCTTAATCAATCTGAAGAACGTTTGCAGATTCAGAAGGTTCTTTGAGCTTTTTCCTTCACAGAAGAACCCTTGAAGAACTTTTTACATTTTTAAATTTGTCTACATTTTTGAAAATTTTAGAAGCGGGCTTTGTAAAATACCACGTTTTATTTTTCTCTGTTCTTTGTGAGGCTGTGTAATGTATTTTCAGAGGTGTGACAAAGTAAAACCATTGTATTTATGAACTGCTTCATCGTTTGTAGGTATTAAAGAGGTTGCTGAGCTTTGATTTTCTGCTCTAATTCTTTTGCTTCCTAAATTTTATGACTGAACTCTTTTGCGATTGGACTTGATTCACTGCCTCGCTTCTTTTTGTCCTCAGGTAGATGTTGCAGCACTGCTTTGCGCTGTTGCAAAGGAGGACGTTGGAATAAACATGACAGAAAACCAGTTCTGATGCTCTTTACCTTTATGGAAGAGCTCCTTCATACTTCTGCAAGAAAAGCACCTTTTGGGTCAGTGGAGCTTGACATCTGCAGCCAATCATGTTCAGCCTGATCAAAAAAGACAAGGAAAAGGAAAAAGATGGTTCAAAGAAGGACAAAAAAGAGAAGAAGGACAAGAAGGAGAGGATGTCCCAGGCTGAGCTGAAGAGCCTGGAGGAGATGAGTGTGAGGCGGGGTTTCTTCAATCTTCACCGTGGTGGTTCCAAGCGAGACTCCAAAGGTAAGCTGGAGATCTCCAGCCCCATCCCCATCAAAGTGGTTAGCAACACGGAGCTCACCCTGACGGACATGGATGCTGAGAGGTTCAATAACAGAGGCAGTGTGGTCCTGGACGCAGGGCCCATGAGTGCTTCCAGCTCCAGTGATGATGTTAAGGCAGAGAAGGACGCCCAAAGGTCCTCTGTCAAAGAGAAGGCTGCCAAATTCGGATCTTTGGCAAAGCAGAATTCACAAGTGGGCCAGATCATGAAACGCTTCTCTTTCTCTCAGAGGAGCAAAGAGGAGAGTCCCTCAGAAGGCTCGAATCCATCCGCACCCAACTCCGCCACCCCTTCTCCCCAAGTGGAGGCCAAAGTTTTTAACCCCCAGATCAAATACATCTCCCACCGCCGTGCGCCTCTCAAGAAGGTCCAGATACCCATGTTGGTGGAGAAGGTTTTCCCGGCAGACTTGCGTTTGCCTGCTGTGATGCCTCCCTCAGGTCCCTGAGCCCAGGGAGCTGGAGCTTCAGCGGCGCAACACAGGCGACTTCGGCTTCTCCCTTCGCCGGACCACCATGCTGGATCATCGGCCTGATGGCTCAGTCTACCGACGGGTGGTCCACTTCGCTGAGCCGGGCGCCGGAAACAAGGACCTGGCCCTGGGTCTGGTGCCAGGAGACCGTCTGGTGGAGATCAATGGGCTGAATGTGGAGAGTAAGAACAGGGATGAGATCGTGGAGATGATCCGTCAGTCCGGAGACACTGTGCGTCTGAAGGTGCAGCCCATCGTGGAATTGAGTGAGCTGAGCCGCTGCTGGCTCAGGAACACCACGGGGCTGCGCAGGGAGGCTTATGAGGTAAGACCATGTGTACCTAATGTGTTACCATAAACCAAGTCTTGGAGATCTACCACCTTGAAGGGTTCCAACATCGGTTCTAATACTTAGATGATCCAAAAGGCCTTGATCGACTAGGATCAGGTGTGTTGGATGGAATATGGATGGAACTCAACTCGGCAGGATGGTAGATCTCCAGGCCTGGAGCTTTACCCCAAATATCTGGAACTGTCCGTGATACCTTTAACAGCTAAGGTGAAAGGAGAACTAATTACATTTGCTGTTTCTTGCTATATGTGGTATAAGTAGTTGCTTATGGTCCACTGAGGCACCAGGGATTATGCAGGATTATGTTTGTTTCATATTGGTGGAATGAGTCCAGAGAATGTCTTGCACTTTTTCAGATCAAAATAAATGAAGCATACAGTGACGTGAAAAAATTAGAACACTCCATTAAATATTTAGTTTTTATTAGGAAACATGGACATATCAATGTTTGATCTTCTTTCAAATGGTAGCTATAGATAAAGGTGATATAAATGCATCACCTTTGCAAAAACAATAAAGAATTCATAATGGAATCTATGATCAAGAGCTTGCCAGCAGAGCAGCCCCAAAACATGACACTGCCACCTCCATGCTTCACAGTTGGTATGAGGTTCTTGTGCTCAAATTCTGTGTTTAGCTTGTGCCCAAATAATTCAACTTCGGATTCTTCTGTCCAAAGCACATTATTCCAGAAGTCCTGGTCTTTGTCTAGGTGTTCTCTGGCAAACTTTATTCTTGCCCTGATGTTTTTTTGACAGCGAGGGTTTCCTCCTTGCACACCTCTTTAGATGCATGTACTTTGACATGAGCTGTGGGAAGAGCTACCTATAGATCCGTGATGACATTTTAGGATTGGTGGAGATCTCTTTATGCACCTTGCGCTCTGCTCTTGGGATGAACTTGCTAGGAGGGCCTGACCTGGCCATGTTGGCCGTTGTTTTAAATGTTCTCCGCTTGTAAATTGTTTTCCGGACAGAATGGCTGATTTCATTCTGAGACACTTTTAAATCCCTTTTCAGACTCATATACATCTACAATCTTCTTTCTGAAGGCCTCTTTAGATCTCGCTGTGGTGATAGCACTCACTTCAACAGTCAAGAGCAAACCAAATTAAGTGTCTGAGGCTTAAAGAAGACAAATACTCCAGACTCCCCCAAAAGCCTCTCTATCGGTGCTCTAATCATTTGCAGCTGATGTGGTGTGTCTGATTCTAAATTTTAGGCATTTTAAGTAGTAATAAATGCGGGGGTGTCCTAACTTTGGCATCACTAGAAAACTGCATTTTTGTTAATTATGTTTTAAATTAAGGGCAGCACGGTGGCGCAGTGGGTAGTGCTGTCGCCTCACAGCAAGAAGGGCCTGGGTTCGATTCCCGGCAGGGCGGCCAGGGTCGTTTCTGTGTGGAGTTTGCCTGTTCCCCCTGTGTCTGCGTGGGTTTCCTCTGGGTACTCCAGTTTCCTCCCACAGTCCAAAAACATGCAGTCAGGCCAATTGGACATGCTAAATTGCCCCTAGGTGTGAATGTGTATGTCTGTCTGCCCTGCGATGGACTGGCGACCTGTCCAGGGTGTATCCTGCCTTCCGCCCAATGACAGCTGGGATAGGCTCCAGCACCCCACCGCGACCCAGAAGGATAAGCGGTTTAGATGATGAATGTATTTTAAATTATTTTTCAAAGACATTTGTTCAGTTTTATTTGTTTAGTTAAATTACCTCCATCTTTCAATGTTAAAATGAAGATCAAATGTTCATATGTTTAAATATGTTAAAAAAGACAGGTTTTCTTGGGGTGTCTTAATTTTTCCAGAGAACTGTATCAACGTTTTCTGTTCAAAAGGACATGATTGGGGTGGGTGGGAGGAGGAACACCAAATAGGATGTCACTTAGGGCCCTATATACATTACCATATGAATGTTTGTCTACTTGGAGGCAAACCTGAGTGGTTGGTTTGTTCCATTGTGACATAGTTATACATGATTAGAAGCTGTTGATGTTTCTGTTTCTTACTCTCTAGCATACCATTCATTTGTAGGAATCCTGAGAATGTGTTACTCCTTTCATATGTTACGAAACTACAGACAGAATGATGCATTGGCTCTCTCGCTCTACTTCCTTCAACATCTGGTATAAAATCGTAACTTTCTGCTGTTTTCAAGAGAACTTTTTGTTCTTTGTGTCACTAATTGTAGGGGAACGTTCCTCTGACACCGATTATGGTGCAGTTCATGAGGAACTCCACACTATTGTTCCAAGTGACAGAAGAAGCAGAGAGAGACAGGAATCAGGTTACTGTATAGCGTGTGCTATCTGTTTATCTTTTCGTCACTTAACCCACACAGTGGAATTCCTCTTTGAAGTGAATAGAATAGTGTTTCTTTGAACACAGCGTTGGATTCAGCTTGATCATATGAGAGGAGGATGTTGTATTATGCGGCCCAGTAGTCTCGCAGGACCAGATGTGATCTTGGAATGAGAATGTCTTGCAGACCCGGATCATCAAGTTATAGGCCCCTGGGCACAAATGTTTAGAGGGCTGTAACTGGCTACCTTTTTTCTCATGATAGCAGATTACATGAGGGCTCTCTAGCACCATGATAGCAGCACACTTACTGTTTTTTGAGCATGTCACTGCTGTCATCTTGAATTAGTAGTCAAGAATGATGGCTTAATATCAAGTTAAATTATTTGTCATTTAGTATGTTGTCATTTAGAAGCAACTGTGTTGACCTGCCTATATTTCACAAAGTAGGATCTCTCTGTTAGCCTGATAACTTAAGCCAAAAAACAAGCTTGTCCAAAAGCAAAAGATCTAAGAGAAGTTGAAAAATAGTTCATTTTTTGCTTGTGCTGCTAGAAAAGTTCCCACCACATGTCAAGACAACTGTTTAAGCCACTTTTCCACTGTATGCCAGCTCAGCTTGGCCTGACTCTACTCGTCTTGTATGGCTTTCCATCAGGCAAATCTGGTACCTGGTACTTGGTACTGGGTACTATTTTTGGTATCACCTGTGTCGAGGTTCTAGACAAACTGATCCGATACCAAAGGTGACGTGGAAAAACTGGTTAGTCGGAGAGAATCGTCACTATCACTCTAAACACATATGCTGACGTTAGCTACCAGGTTAGCGCACGCTCTTGCGTCACCTCCAAGCAACCAGAATCGTCTCGTTGCCTGAACTCTGAAGTTGTATTTGCCAAACTCTCCTGTTTTTTTCAGCAATACTTTTTCTTGCTGTCATCAGCCTTTTTTGAACTAAATTTTAACCACCTGGCATCGCTATGATGACCAGCTATATTGAGGTGGTTCTATATCAGCTGCGGAAAATAAAGTACCAAGTCAAGCTGTACCATTCAGTGGAAAAGTGGCTTTATATTCTGGTATAATTGCTCATGGGGAACTCTTAATGGCGTGCGCCCCTGGGCATATACCCACCAAACCCGTGGCATGATCTGGGCCTGATGTTTGTGGACAACCATGAGAATTTTTGGGCTAAATTTGGGTGAGAATTTAGTTTGGGAACAAACTGAGTATAAAGTTTCTAAACCAGTGGAGTGCCTTGTGAAAGCAGAGCTCGAAGTAGAAGGCGATGGTGCGCTTGTCGACATTGTCAGACGGACAGCAAGCCTGTCATTAGTACATGGATGTATTATGTATGGTTAACTTCTATTTGCATTAGCTAGTGATAGCATTTTGTTAGCTTGCTAAAGTGAAACTGAAAAAAACCTCATTATATATATATGCACACATTATATATATATATATATATATATATATATGTGTGCATATATATATATATACATATATAATGTGTGCATATATATATATATATATATACATATATAATGTGTGCATATATATATATATATATATATATATATATATATATATATATATATATATATATATATATATGTATATATATATAAGGGAAGCCATTCCGTGTGTGAAGGGCTGCAGCACGGCTTCATCAGTTTCACAAATGCAAGCACGGGTAGGAAATTAGAGTTGTTCTAAAATGTTCTAAACCCAAACAACATATCAGGGTTGATACAGGACGTGGATTAACATTAAAAGGGTTTAACAGATTGAGAGACAAACGTAACCGCTTTTGAGCATCTTAAAGCCGTGGACGGCACGTTTTCGTACATTTAGGTTGTTAACTTGACTGACAATCACAATAAATCACGAACGCAAACTGTGCAGCAGCAGATGAGCTATCGTCTCTGACTTTACATCTACAAGGTGGACTGACAAGCTAGGAGCGTCTAATAGAGTGGACAGTGAGTGGACACAGTGTTTAAAAACTCCAGCAGCACTGCTGTGTCTGATCCACTCGCACCAGCGCAGCACACACTAACACATCACCACCACGTCAGTGTCACTGCAGTGCTGAGAATGATCCACCACCCAAATAGTACCTGCTCTGTGAGGGTCCATGGGGGTCCTGACCACTGAAGAACAGGGTAAAAAAGTGCACCTGTATAGTAAGTGGAGCTAATAAAATGGACAATAGGCATAGAAACAAGGAGGTGGACTTTTAAGCAAGTTGTCCCGAGATGTGTAGCCTTGCAACACTACCGTCCCAGTTGACATCTTAAAAGGCCTTTGTTAGTCAAGAGTGGCATCCATGATATCATCAGTGTTGAGTTTCAGTGAAGTAGCGCTGATCCACCTCAGGGATTTAACCCTTCCCCTGCCAATACACTTTAACACAGATGTATTGTCATGTCAGCATGAATAAAGGGCCAGATATGTATGTGTGCTCAGGGAGGTGACATTTTACAAAAGTAGGCTCCTGTGGTTGCCTCATGCTTGCTGAGTTATGTCATATAGAGTGGCATGTTCTTCCTAAATGGCCAATGTGTGAGTAGGTGTGGCGTCTATGTTACAGTACTTGCTTCGAATGTAAGATGCAAATAAATATATTCCAGTTAACTTGTCGCTTACTTGAATAAATAAGAGTTTTTTCAT